TTATAATCTAGTACTTTGTCATCTGCGTCCAGGAAAATGTCACTTTTGAATTCCATATCCTCGGAATCTTCGGAGGTTTCACGGCAAACAGCGGTGTTACATATCCAGTTCTTCTTCTTATGGAAACCTCGTAGATTCACATTAACGCAGCGGGGGTGGAGCTTTTGGTACACACAGAGCACGTAATTAAGGCCTTAGTGTCGTCTTCGGCCGAATCGCAGACAGCACATATAACACGTGCGTTCTTGTCAGATATCACTATTACACTTGTAAGTAGTTTACCAAGGCATTCATAATTTTTACAAGAGCCTGTGAAAGTATAGATTCATAATATTTTGCATGTTTGAGATAGGATTTATTTGTCAAAATTATGAAAGTACGTCATCAATTCTTTGAAAGGGGATAAGCAGATACATTTTGATTAACAACTTATCTTGGCTATGATAATTTTACAATCTTTGCAAGATTTCAGAAGTATTAGGAATTGCAGCTTTAAAGTTATATTGTTACACAATAGTGATTTTTTCCCAAAAATGTGAATGTCTTCAAATTGTTGGTGGGAATAAAAGAATAAAGTTTGGTTGCTAAAATATCATCTACACAACAATCTTTCTGGTAGTTTTGGAGATCACTTACCTAATAAAGTCGCTGATAGACAGCCAGAAACGAGCCAGAAACTTTTTCGTCTTGAACAAAAATAAAACATCGAGAAAATAAAATCAGCCATCAGAATGAACCCCAGCGTATGCTCAGGAATTAAAAAGTTCTCTCCTAAGTTCTTTATTAAAAAACTTAGCAATATTTTGTGAATTTAGTATTAAGTGATTACCTTCAGTGCAAGTCCTAACAGAACAATTTGTGACAAGAGGTCGTTCTATATCTAAAAAAAAAAGATAAGTGTTATAACAAAATGCCTATTTCTTTTCCAAAAATACCTGGATCAATAGTTTTGTCTTCATTTCTTTCACAAATTTCGTCCATGGTCATTTGGCTTTCTTGATCTAAGATTTTCTTTATCATTAAATCACCTACAACTATCTGCTGCCTGTAATACTCGTCGTGTATATTTCGTTGATGACCCATAAAATTAACGACGGTTTCTTTTTGATAATCCTGAAGGTTCATTGTTGAGGTCTTTGTTGCAAACTGTTTTCGTAGAAGGGTTGTTCTTATAGAACATGGATTTTGTAATTTTGCCATTGCTGTATACTTTCTAATTATTCGACACGTTTCTAAAGTTCTGTATCGCTGTCCTACCATTTTCCCCGGCAAGCCAAAGATATAAGGGTTATCGTCCGATACTCCAGCCTGACTTCTATAGTCATTAATAAATGTTAAATATTTCTTTATGTAGCAAGGTTTTGCTTTATCCAGTGGAATTGATTGTTTGGAAATTATAGGTGAATAAAACTGAACGAAACGATTGAAATGTGTATTGCAACAACGTGGTACATCAACTGAACTTGCATTGTCAAGTGCGCACATGCGCAAGCTTATGTCGGTAATACAGTTAGCAAAAGGGTAGTTTTCTATAATATCAACACTCCCACTAGAAAACTACAACTATCAACAAAAATAATTTTAAATTTAAATAAAGTAAAATTAACGCTTCTTGAGTCCCATTTCCTTCAGGTGCTTTTCATGCAGTTCCAGAGGTAATGCTTTGGTCATCACATCAGCTGTCATTTCCTTCGAAGCAATGTGTTGAACTTGTATGGCCTTTGGAAGTTCTTTTTCAAAAAATACAACATCTCTAGCCTCCACAATTTTCTGTTTTCTTATGTGATAGAGCCGGTAGCCTTTCGAACCATTTGCATAGCCCACATGAATGCATTCTTCTGACTTCGGGTCCAATTTTCTGCGTTGTTGTTTAGGCACGTGAACAAATGCCCTACAACCAAACACTTTTAAATAGGATAGATCAGGTTTCTTACCTGTGTAAGCTTCATTTGGTGTGACATCTTTCAATGTTCTTGTCGGTGCTCTGTTGATCAAGTGGACAGCTGTATTTACGGCTTCTGCCCAAAACCTTTTCTTCAAATTGGCACCAATTAATAAGCAACGCGTTTTTTCTATGATGGTGCGGTTCATCCGCTCTGCAACTCCATTTTGTTCGGGCGTATGTGGAATCGTTGTTTGGTGACAAATACCAGACAATTTCAGCAGCTTGAGCAACCTGTTGTTGACATATTCAGTTCCATTGTCAGTCCTCAGAGTCTTGATTCTATTTCCCGTCTGATTTTCTACCATATTCTTGAATTCTTGGAAAACATCGTGTACTTCTGATTTGTTTCTTAGGAAGTAAACAAATACTTTGTGGGTGAAGTCGTCCACAAAAGTGAGAAAGTATTTTGATCCTCCCAATGAATTTTCCTCCATAGGACCACATAGGTCTGAATGGATTAGTTCCAAGGGTCGGCTTGAGTTCTTGACATGTGGCTTAAATGGTAGACGGTGTTGTTTGCCCTGCACACATACCTCGCAAGGTTCACTCAGCGAATTTTTGAAATTCGTTCCCGTAACGACCCCGTTTTTTATTCGGTTCATGCTGTCCGTTGACGGATGGCCTAGTCTGCTATGCCATAGATGTATATTGTCAGCAACCGATACTGAGTTAGCACCGTGCACCTTATTTTTCGGTCGATCCAGTTTGTACATGCCATTCTTCAGTGTGGCACTGGCGATGAGGGCGTTGCTTTTGTCGTATATACTGCATTTACTGCTCTCAAAGTAGACCTTGTGCCCCTTATTGGTTATTTTGCTTACAGACAGCAAGTTAGTTGTCAAATCTGGCACAAACATAACCTCTTTTACGTTTATTTTGTCAGGTGTACCACCTGTACAAACGTCCAAATTTACCTCCCCCACTGCATCGACATTTAGACGATTTTTATTGGCTACTATAATTTCCTGCGTGGATGAAGGAGGTTTGCTTGCGGATGTCAGCCATGTTTTGTCGTTTGTTAGATGGACCGATGCGCCGGAGTCGATATACCATTCATTTTTTTCAACATGATCGTTTCCCGTTGACAAGACTGTTAAGAAGGATTTCGCTTCCTTCGTGTTGGAAGATTTGCCATTTTCTCTCTGCAGGCGAGCCTTTCGTTTAAAACAATTCTTCCCGAGATGACCAATTTTATTACATTCAAAACACCGTGGCCCATTTTTAGTATAGTTCTTCTTTTCGGCGTGGTTTCCGAAGAACGCTACTCCATTTTTGTTTGAACTGCTTGTATCGACCTTGACCTCTTGTAATAGTTTCACCTTGATGGAGTCACTGGTAATGGCGATACCGGAGCTTTCTAGTCCCATTATCATTGGGCGATAATGGTCTGGCAATCCAGCAAGTAATAACGTCCCGAGCCATTCATCACTTACAACAAAACCAATATTCGTCAATTTATGTCCTGTTGAAATAATCTTGTTAACGTATTCTTCTACGGAATCACAATTTTCCAACTGAGTTGTGATTAAGGTACGTAACAGGCCAACTCTTCGCGTAAGTCCTTTATCGTCGAAGGCCTTGATTAAATTTTCCCATGCCTCTTTCGCGGTCTTCGCATTTTGCACGTGGACATAGTTTATGGGGTGTATCGACAGGATTATTTTGGCCTTAGCCTTTGCAACTTGTTTTGCCGTAGTGTTCGTACCCTCAACACATTCCCACAACTCTTCATGCTCCAAATATGTTTGCATTGCGAATTTCCATGAGTTGAAGTTTTCGCGCCCTAGTAGTTTTTCGATCGGTGGTAGCGTGGACGCTGCCATTTTGTTGCCGGAACACAAAAGTTTTTATCACTGAGATATATCGGATTCACCTTATTTTTACACGCGGCCAAACAATCAGCAGTACCCTGGGCCCATAACCTGTAGCAAGGTTTTGCTTTATCCAGTGGAATTGATTGTTTGGAAATTATAGGTGAATAAAACTGAACGAAACGATTGAAATGTGTATTGCAACAACGTGGTACATCAACTGAACTTGCATTGTCAAGTGCGCACATGCGCAAGCTTATGTCGGTAATACAGTTAGCAAAAGGGTAGTTTTCTATAATATCAACACTTTATATAATGGGGAATTATAACTGCCACCGTTCTGTGAAGTTTTCCTCTGATCATTAATTTGTATGTGCAATCAACTTCTTTATTCTATTGTCACCTAAATTGTTGAGCAGTTCTGGGAGTACTGTATCACGCAAAGTCTGTATATTTCGAAAATCCTCCACAAGTATTCTTTGGGCTTCACCAGCTCGTTTTCTATTATAAACACTGATATACATCAGTGTGAGTTCCGCTAAAGTCTTCCAGTGTGTAAAAGAAAATTCTTCAGTCATGAGTCTTGTAAGTTTTTGCTGCATTTTTTAAAATGTAAATTTTAAAATTTTCAACATTTTTTGTCGTTGGAATGATACTTCTTTTCGTCATCATTTTTTTTCTTTTCATTTCACACAGATCTCTATGGGCTGGTTTATTTATTTTACCAGGAACTTCTGTTTTCAGGAGTTTAAAAAATCTTTTAACAGCTTGTTCGTTTCCATCGTCTCCTCCTCGAATATAATGACTTTGCAAAATATTACAACAAATTTTTAGATAATGTGTTATGGTCAATGCGGATGTTGATTTACTGTACACTGATGAATTATTATCAATTTCTCCCATCTGTTTTACTGCTTCAAGTGCCAAATCAAAATGTTGAGGGTAGAACAACTTATGAAATTCGTCAATGCTATTATCAATTTTTTTCACAGTTAAAAAATATGTCGCTAGAAACCTCAATTTGTTCCGTATCATATACTCCTGGTGTTCTCTATATTTGGGGACTAAATAATTGCCAATCAAAATTAACAGCATATCTTTTTTGACAGTATCCAATATTATATTCTGTTTCATTGGCGGCAAAATTTTCTCTTTTAGTTGCAAACATGCCGCCGGATGAATTTTACTAACCACGGCACGAGCAGCTCTTAAAACAGATCTACTAGCATTTTCATCTTTCAGATCTTTGCAGCAGTAGGCATAATGACGAGATAGTGTTATCTGTGAATAAAACCCTTTGCAATTAGGGCATGGTAAAGAGTCTCGTGAACCTTTTTGCACTCGTCTGATAAGAATGGGATTCTCTTTATTGCTCTTGTTGTAATTATAATTGCCACTTTTTCGTAGATTTGCTATAATTTCACAACGTTCAGGACTACCTGCAATTTAAACTTACTTAATTACACATTCCAACTAACTTGATAACTAACCTTTATTGAAACTTAAGAATTTTCTTGCTTCTGCCTCTTCTGAGTGACAAATTTCAAAATGACGTGCTAAATTAGTTTTGAGAGTTTTGCAAAAAATGCAAAACTTCTGCTTGCACGAATAGCGTGAGTTTGTTCCATAATTTTTTGTTGCTAGACGTTCGGATACTGAAATAAAACAATAATGACAAACATATTTTACATTGTATTATTTAGTGCATTAATTGCCTCCATTGATCGACTTGTTACTTTGAACTTTTCTCGACGTTTCATGACACCTGAGTACGAGTGGTCCACGTTTCCGTCTGCCTGTCTGTCTTCTATGAAGAGTTTTATGAGATAGATAATGTCCGAAACTACTAGACCGATTGTTGTCAAATTTTGTATGTTTGTTAAAAATATCACGTTTAACATAATATTCTTAGCACATAGTTAATTTATGATGTAGAGGGTACAGCGCTAACCAAAATTTGTCTAATCATCTCCACCAACAATAGGATTACGTCATCTTTAAAATTTATAAAATAACATACTCCTCCACAAACAAAATCTTATAACATTTTGTAATTGAACTTTGAAACTGCAAAACCGTACGATCTAAAATGTTACAAACGTATTACGTTTATCGGAAGCAATATAAATCGGTAATCAATATTAAACTTATCCATTTACCCCCTCCCAAAAAATTGATGACATTTCAAAATTTTGTCAAATAAATCTTATCTAAAATGCGCAATATCCTATGCCTCTATTTTTGTGATTTAGCAATGCATTAATAGTTTTTAGAATTACTTATAAACGCTGGCTTAAAAAAATTTATAAATGAGGGAATTTATTTTATTGATCACAGTAAGAACGACTCACTTTATGTTCTCGAAAATTTGAGTATACAGCACCGTTATTATTAATATTAGATTGCACCTATTCAAATTGATATACGTATGTTTCCTAAAACGTTGATGACGTTATCACAAACATTTTGTGATGGACAAACTCACTTAAAACACACGCACAATATGCTCCTTTACCTGTACTGTAACAGTTCACACATATTTTTGATTTAATTTATAGCGGTTATCATAAAGAAATAAAATTTGCAAATTAAATTTTGAAGAAGCCGTATTTGTTCGACAGTACTTCACGGGCGAGTGAAGTTGTGGCAAAATAATCTTCGACCGTTGGTAAAGGGCTTTATTTTATTTGGAATCACAGAGAATGAAATAGTAAAGAATAATTTTTACAACGCGAAGATTATCTCCATTCCAAATGACTGCGCACACAATTAAACATATTATACACTAAGATCGTTGAAGTGTTAGAATTAGGGGTACAAATATTTTTAATAAGCAAAATTGAGCACAAAACATTAGTATGTACTACTTTTCAAAAGAAAATTTGTTAGTGTTTTTTTTATACTAATTTTTATAAATAATTCTGTGTTGCCACTTTCATTAACTAATGAAATGTTTTCAGTCAAACATCGCTTTTGTTTAAAAGTGATGATAACCTGTTTAAAAAAACTACCCTTGTGTAATGTATAGAAAATTGTAGACATATTATATTAAAATTTCATAAAAATAAGCCTGTTAACAATGGAGGTATTCCATTGTGTAAATGTTATTTCAAGCCATTTATAGAGCAAGAATTCAGTATAAAGAATTTAAAAACAAGATGATTACATTCACTTTGAGCCTGTGTGCTAGATAGATATTCCACATTATTTGTTCTATTGCTTGAAATATCAGCATGCCCTACTTAAATTAAAAGAGTAATTTTTACATAAAGACACATTATTTCTAAAAATTGCATATTTTTAAAATTACACACCCACATTATACATTAAATACCTAATACGATTACGCTATGTCTACGTGGCAAGCATGTGGATTCAAAAATAAAGTCAAAAATGCGAAAAATAATTTCAACGTGTACCTATAATATGGCTCGACGAGTCTAATAAAAATCGACGAAGACGACAGACAGACGGAAACGTGGGACCTTTTTTATGCCTCAGAGGTCATGAAACGTCGAGAAAACATAAAAGCAGTCATTTGTCAAATGGACCCTATTTCATTACTTCACTAGTTCAGGCTGGAGAAATAAAATTATTTCGTTCTTACCAATTAGTAGTTTTTTTTCTTTATTTAGTTGTTGTTTCAAGTCTTCTAAGGCTTCAAAGTTTCCTGAAAGATAAAAAAAAACAAAAATTATATTTACTTTGTCCTTATAAAGATATATGTACTTGGTGCATTTCATTTGTAACCAAATAATATTTTATGATTTTTAACAACCCCGTAAATGTGGTCGGCTTCTGTGGATACTTGTCACATCTGTTCTGGGTAATTTTAAAAATTGGCCCACAGAGAGGGTTCAGATTTAAGAGTGTTTCAATCTCTGGATATTTAAAAAATAAAGATTTGTTCAAAATTATATTCAATAGTCGTTATCAAGCATGCTGTTATTATTGTTGTGCGGATATCAGCAGCAGCTAGGCATTCCGTACTCTCAAAGGGTTAGATGGATCATATATCTAAAATTTCACATTAAATTTAAAATTGTACGAAGCGGTTTTCCCTTCTCGTTATGAAACACCTCAGGTGTGTATGCTGCACGTTTAAAAGGTGGAGAAATCCATTAAAAAAAACAACAATAAAATGTTATTATCACTACAAATACCGGAAGCAGCGATTCTGACAGCGAAATAAGTGACAGTAATTCTGTAAATAGTTCTGACAGCAACAGTTAAAAAAATATTCATTTGTGCAGATTTTTATTTTTGCAAGTTTATAAGCACAAGTAATAATAATATATAATGAAATTATACTGGGCGTTGTTATAATAATTTTATGTTTAATTAATTTTTATTTAAACATGTAGCGACGTGTTTATAATTAATAAAGTCATTTCGTTATCATGAAAATTTTTCTGCTTGAAATTTTACTCAATTTGAAATAATACGTCCTTGCCTTTTTACCTACTCGGGATCGAAGCTCACAACCACTGTCACTTATGAAAATACAGCCCTATTTATATATATCAGGATACGGATGTAATGCATCAAGAATATAAGACTTAACACTAGGTAACTTTTATAACCCTGCAATCATTGCACTAGACCAGTTGAATAAATTAAGTATTATTGCTTGAAAGTCAAAGATAGAAACGTTACTTTAATTTAAATTTTTAACTATAGGTGGTTACGTAAATTCGATTTTCATACTTACCATCAATACATATAACCTTAACATTGTAAAATGCTTTACTTGATCCTCTCTCTATTCTTCTCTGGTTTTTCTTAATAATTTTTTCGTCGCATACATCGAATACCCCATTGGAGTAACGAATAAGGGCAAACCTTATACACATAATACCACGGCTAAAAAGGAGAATTAAAATTATTAATAAACATTCATTTTCAACAATACATTTAAAATGTAATCAAACTGGACAAATATTTAAATGATCTATTTGGAAAGGTTATTAAATAGATTTAGACTTTTTATGAAGTACCATACATTCACAAATAAATCTTAAAATACCGTACTAATAAGAAGACGTTTACTATACAGAGTAATTTTTTAACCTGAAAGTTTCAAATATTTCGGAAAATAAGTACTCTACAAAAAAATGTTAAATAGGAACTACCAGTTTTTATTACAGAATCGAAATCTACGGGTAAAGGTACAACTTTTTTGAAGACGAATTTCGAGTATTTCCATAAAATGTTGTATTTTTTAGTGCCAATGTATTGCAAAATCGTATGCATAGGTTCTCAGTGGGAGAAATCGAGAAAGTTTGAATTTCGTCGATTCAGCGCCATCTACCACGAATCGAAAAAAAAATTTTTCAAACAAATCATATGTATTTTTTGCCGTAGACTCCGAATCTGCAATAACAAACAGCAGTCCCTGTTTAAAGTTTCGAAACCCCTCCCCCACCTATAAGGAGAGGAAGCGGGGGGCTAAATTTACCACTAATGTATTTCCCCCGGGGCATAATTAAATTTTGATTATGGACATTTTTTTGGAGTGTTTATTTTTCTAGATATTTGAAAGTTTCAGGTTCAAAAAAATCACCCTGTATATTTACGTAAGATAACATATCACGAAGCATTAGTACAGTGAACCGTTAAAAAATTACTAATTAAAAAATATATAAAAATTAATGCGTTCTGAAATTAACCACGCCACTGGATACCGGATGAGCAGAATAAGAAATAAAGCAGAAAAAAGTATTTTAAGGACAAGAGTTTCATTTAATCAAAATTGCCATATATGTACTTGTGAACGACCTGTGATTTTACTGCAAAAGCAAAATTAGGCGGCTTTTGTTTTGTTTTGGTTAGGATATCGTAAATTCTCTATCAGTACCGACACTAAATGAAATCAACTTACTTGAAGAAACTGCCGATGCCGTCACGAATCACACAATCTTGTAACAAATTAATTAAACAGCACACTATAAACAGAGTATAAACCCAATAATGGACCACGAACTTAGCCACCGTATTGTAGTCCAAATAATATTTTACGCGGGAAACGAAGGTGTTATTGCGACACAAAACAGCGGAATTTAGACAGAGAAATGCATATTATTGCATAGTGCATGCGTCATAAAAACGAGCGAAATTGAAATCAACTACAACCTTGCAGTATTATCAATTCATCTATTAGGTATAATTCTTAATAGAGAATCATTAGGTTGGCTTTAAAAACGAATTGTGAGTAAAAAATGGAAAAAACAATTATAAGTAGATATTTAAAAGATGAAGTTAAATTTTTAACAATTTGGCACGATCCGGCAAAATTATAAAATATCACTGGTTTCTCAATTGGTAGGCTCAATTTTTACAAAAAAATAAATCAGTTAAATGAAAAGATTCGTACTCTTCGTTTCGATACGTGATGCCCAACAACTGTCTTTACAATTTTAGGAATATCTGATATTTGCGCAAAATTTTCAGTAAGTAGTCAGTTTGTTGAAATCACATGTACAGTGCCTTTTTTAAAGCAGACTACAGTGATTTGTATTAAAAAAAATTGTGGGTCGTGTTAAGTAAGTTTTGTAGCCGTAATTTTCAAGTGAAATTTTGCTGAATGTTGAACTAGTATTTTATAAATCGACTTCAGTTCATTTTAGTGTACAGAACAAAATAATTACAGAATTATAACAAAAAAAGAACATTAATTAGTTTAGTTACATACGTGAAGAAACTACTTCGTGAATTTGTGGCGAATTTAATGCATTCATTTTTGCTGAAATTTCGTAATTATTTTGCTGTATGTAATGAAATGTACTAAGCTGATTTATAAATTACTTGTCTAAGATTCTGCCAAATTTTACTAGAAAACTAATTAACATAAACCAAAGTTTTTAGCACGTAAATCCCTAAGGCCATCGTTAAAAAAGGCAGTTGTATAATATGTAGGTACCTCCAAATCCCAGATTTAACAAAATTATCAGTCCTTCTAATTATTTTTTTAAAATATTAGAACAAATTAAAAATTTGGCAGTTTCGATCCATGAAGGCAAACTGTAGCTTATGCATTTTGAGATGATTATGTTAACATTCAAATTTTCGCTTTGATGATTTACCTAAATATTTTAATCCTTTAACATTTTTTTCAGCTAAACCTGTGTGAAAGAATCACAGTCCTAACTAAGAAAATAATGATATTCATAGTAGGTATCCTTAAAACCTCAATGTTTAGAGAGGATTCTGTGAAAATTGAAACAAAAAAAAACAAAGAAATTGGTAATAAATTAATTTGATATTTATTAATTACGATTCATGGCGCCAAAAATAATACCAAATACCTCTATCTCCAATTTTCAGAATATATTAGACATATTTATATTTTTAATTGTCAATTGACGGAAGTCACATACACATTACTTCCAAATCACGAATTTGAAAAAAATTGATACTCCTCTAGTATTTTTAAATTTATTTTGCACACATAACCTGTATTGAAGATTTGGCATTTTCAATTCATGATGCCAAACTGTATCTACAATTTTGAGAATACATTTATCAAATTTACATTTTGAACTGTCACTTCTGAATTATGAATTTTACTAAATTTATCAATACTTTAAAATTTTTATTAAATGATAACATACATTGAAAATTTGCGAATTTCGATTCATGACGCCAAACTGTATACACAATTTTTATACGATATACATGCCAAATTTACATTCTGAACTGTTAGTTGACGTAAATCACATATACTGATGTACTTCTGCATGATAAAGTTGACTAAATTGAACATCAGTGTAAAATTAATGTAAATTTAAAATTTGTCAGTTTCTGTTCATGACTGTATCTATAGTTTTAACAATGTACTTATTTGTCACATTTACATTTTGAACTTCAATTGACGAAAATCAAATACACAGTACTTCTGAATTACGCACCATAAATGCTAAAATGGCACTGTGTTGTGGATATTAATTTTCGGAGCCGCAATTTTTACTTCTGTGACCTCATTAACATCAAATGAATTTGAAAGAACACACTAGGAAATTGGTTCTTGTAAAATGCTAATTTTCTGTTTAAAACGGTTGATAAATTCATACAACCCAGTAAACACAGTTACGTCGTAACGATGTTAATGCCACTTAACTCTGTCTACGATCTTGTTAGCTGTTACATCCCAAACTGCGTACATTTGCTTTCCCTGTGCTATGTAATGTAATCAACAGTCACCCATGCTTGTAACATACTGGTGACATCCACACTGTTTCAGACTAGAGACGTGCTCGCTGGTACATCATCATAACGTTGTGTTAGTATGTCGCTAGATTCTCTACATTTTGATGTATCTGTTACGTTTTATTTTAAACGCCAATATAACGTATTAAATGGACATAGACGTTACGTATATATCGCAACATCGTAAACATAACTCTCAGTATATTTTATTAACATGATCTATGCGATATGAATAGGCATTTCAGAAAATCTAGTTACCATTTAGGGATATGGATATGGAGAGTAAAATTTAGAGCTTACAGTAAATTATTATTTTATTCAATGTTTGAAAAAATATAATATGTAATAAGTAATAAAATATAAAAATTAATATAAATTCATAATATAAATAAATAAATATATATATGATTTCCTAATTCGAAAATAATACAATATAATTTACACTTAAAAAAAGACACAGAAACTATAAACTGTCGTTG